CAATCAGACTCTGCAAGTGATGACTATGGATGTCGATAAAATTAGTAATGTTCAGCACTCAGATGCCACAAAACAGAGCAACCAAGAACGACATCAAATTCATTTCTTTGCACAGTTTTCGGGAAAGTTAACCGTCATGAATATGCATGAGGTTACGTCTGGCTAAACACAAGATTGGTGTTAAGACGATTTGAAGAAAGTAGTGTACGTTTGGATATAAAAACGTATATCTCTGCGCTATATTAACTGATCTCGAGCTAAAATTCAAATATAAGCTAAGGAATGGCTGCTATCTTGCCTGACATGCTTTTCAAAATCTTTCATATTTGAATCCAAATGAATCCTCCTTAAATGTTTTCTGAATTCTTTAAACACCGTTTGCTATTTGCCATGAAAAGCTTGCACACCCCTCAAACGCTGTGCAGTTTAATTCTATTGAAGTGTTTTTAGGTCTTTTATAGTCATTGATGAACAAAATAAACAGAGACACCTACGTGTAACAGTCCCTAAAGAGTACTTTACTTTTTTCGCCCAAAAATGTCACGAATTTTATTACACCTTGAAAGATTTTTCTAGAAAAGAGTGCAATTTTTACTTAACTACGAGCGACATAATCATATTGATCCCTTCCTTGCAGTAGCTATAAAGCTTCTTTATTTATGCCTTACTTTCACATTTGGTCCAAAGAAACCGATCGGAGAATTTTCACTCCATGTTAGATCTCGTAGAAGTATCACGAAAAAATGCATCTGCTTTATAATAAAGGGGCCAAATAATTAGTCACCTCAGTTCAACTGATCAAATTAGAACCCTCGTTAACGTCAAGTTTGGTTTCCAGTAGAATAAAACATCGCGCGCAAAACAGAATCAAGCCATCAGACAACGAAAGGCAAAGATGTGTGCACTGTTGTTTCCGATGCTAAGACGTCAAGTTTGTCACCTTGGTGTAAGACATAAGAAAGGTCCACCGATCACCTAAAATATCTCATGGTCATCTTCAAAATCCCATCACCATAGAAATATCCTAAGACAGGGAAAAAACTCTCTAATTTACACCCGGCGCAGAAGGTTCAAAAGTGCAAATCGTTCACACTTATTTTATGACTACAAGGAAACAGCCAAACAGTTGCCCCAGAGCAGTTCGAAAAACCTGGTAAACTTGCCCGTGACCGATGGACAAGGGCATGCATTTTAGAGTATATGTACTGGATTCCAAAAGTTTAAAAAGAATTTCATTCAATGTTATATTTTTTGATCAGCAATATCTCTATCATGCCCATATCATCACCATTTAGCTTAAATAATAATTGCTGTAAAATGTAAAAGGAAAAAAAACTTCAAACGTACTGTGCTACAGAATATTTTACAAGTGGTGTATGTCAGACGTGGATTCTCAAAAACTCAAAAAACTTGAAGAAATTCAAAATCGTCATTTTTTATAAAGTTTATATCATCAAAACGTACACCTTTTCTAAACTTTATACAACCGTTCATCAAGATAATAATATATTTACAACTAGCTATTCAATGTAACAGACAATTGTTTCTTCTATAGAATTGGAATTCGAAAATTTCCGTTGCTTGTGACTGGTCATCAACAAAATCACTTCGGAAAAATCCCTCTGATTCTACACACGTTTTCTAAAATAATATGATGCTGGAGTTCCTTATCAACAATTATGATGTCTTTAAATAGAGACCAAGTCTTCCATCAAAATATTGAAATTCTGATGGGTATTAATTGTGCTTCATTATCACCTGACTTGTTTTTATATACCTATGAAACATTCATTTGAAAAAAATCTTTATGAGAAACAGAAAACATTTGTCGTGGCCTTCTACTCAGTATTGCCAAGTTTTTTTTAACAAAACAAACAAAAAACAATAGTAACTTCAATTCATATGTCAACTTCATATATCCAGTGAACTTGAAATAAAAGGCAATACAGTCACATGAAATATATGGAGATAATGAACAATATTCAAGCTTAGTAGTTATAAAACAAAACAAAACAGATGCAGAGGAAATACGTGTATAGACCTCTAAAACATCAGGAATTGGAACAGGTGCCATGGAGGAGTTAGCATCCTCTGCCGACCGATCACACCCGCCATGTGCTCCTTGACATGATCGAGAAATCATGGAAAAATATCGACAATTCAGAGTGTAATTAATAGCCTAACAATTAGTATGAAAAACGTCAATGAGCATTTGACTTATTGATAGATTGTATTCGCTGACAAGATTATAGTACCGACCGTAGAACTTATGAAATGATGACTTTAACAAGACTGCCTGTCAATAACTTACTTCGTTTTAGAAATTGTTCATATGCAGAGCATGCTCATGGGTATTAATCAGTGAGAGATATAAACCCCGTATGCAGGTGATAAGGGTATATTGCTGAATAAGTAAGGTAAGTTGATGATTGAAAAGTTAAACGCATCACGTTTATCATAAAACTTTGTTGTAATATTACCAGTTGCGCCTTTTTTCTTTAGAAAAAACTGGTGTGTCATCTTACATTTCAAGCTCATCGGGGTATATCGTGTCGACATAAGAATGGAAATAATAATTGTTAGTTTTCAATACGTTGAATTGAAGGTTTTTCACATGCCTCACGGTATTTCAAAAGATTTGAACAATTTCTGTTTCAAATATATTAATATACTAGAGCAAAGCTCGTTGCAAAGCAACGAGCAGGTCTTCCGTCCTGTTTTGACCAGAAGTGACGTCAGCAAAAAGAAAGCAATGAGCTTAGTCACCTCCAGTCACTTTATAATTTCAATTTTGCATCAAAACCTTAAAAAATAAGCTATTTTTGGCTACTTCCGGTTTGACCGGAAGTGATGTCGATGGACGGAAAATTAAGTTTTGTGCTTCCTGTGATATATGTTACCCAAAAACTTGTCAAGAACAGCAAAAATATGCATTTTCTGACTACTTCCGGTTTGACCGGAAGTGACGTCGCCGGACGCATTTTGACGACTTCATTAGATTAAGCTTGACATTTTGAACAACATTGCTTCTTGGGTGTATTACAAATTCTTAATACTTTTTGAGATATCTGGAAAACACTTTTGGCCCCTCTAGATCCCTTAATTTAGGGGTCAGTCCTTTTTTCGATATATCATTTAAAAGGTCTTGTAATTCTGCACAAATGTTGTTTTATATGTTTTAACAAAATATTTTTAGTTTAGAAGATAAAAAGCAAAATATGTGTAAATTTTCGCTCTTTTAGGCGTTCTAATTTTTGACCCCTATATAGAACCATTTTGAATACAAAAATCGAAAAACAAAAACCACTATGCACAACTTCAATCCTTCTATTATCTAAAATCAGTAGAATTTTTGATCCAGCTCTGAGCCTTTGTCTGGAAACGAAAGCCTATAAATTTTCGTTTAAAGGGAAATAACTCAAAACCGGAAGTGACTTTTTGAAATTTTAGATAGCATTCTGATCGAGTTTAGTAACGTCTATCAACTCTGAAAATTTGAGCAAAATCCATTGAGAAATGAGTGAAATATGAGGCCTCAAAGTTGGCGTCTAGGAAAAGGGAAAAAAAAGAAGAACTAGTTCTAATTGTAACGGGGACCGTTACAGATGTTCCCCAAACGCTCCCCAACTCCCTTTTTGTGCAAATTTCCTTTAAAACTTTTTTTCAATATGCTTAGTATCACAGGATTTCATAAAAGAATTTTTAAAGCTACAATGATATCAACTTTTTGTCATTTAACGCATTGTTCGCAAACGCACGTGCATTCACATGCAAGGTGATCATAACATGTTGTCTAAACCATTAACATATCTTTATATTCCAGAAATCAATAAAAAGTCATAAAAATATAAATTTTACCGTTTTTCAAACATATTGTTCATTTTACGCATTGTGTGTGCGCATGTGCATGCAAGCACGTCCTTGCATTCAATTTTGATAGCAATATCATGTAGGAATCCATAATACCTATTCATATTCTAAACTTCATCCTATTTTGTTGAGAAACAAGAAAGATATAGGCATGTAAAGTTTCAGCCAATCAGATTGCAGCACACGTGGATTTATGTGCTTTCATGATAATTCTTATATATCATGCGGTAGATCTTCATAATATGTGACTAAGTTCAAAATTTCAAAGGATTATGACGTAAAACAAGAAAGATTTTGAGACTTTAGTTGCAGCCAATAAGAGCGAAGCGCACGTGCATGCGCGTAAGATCTTGCTTTTTTGACCATATCATCTTGTTGATACTACTAATAGATTCATGCATTGTGAGTTTTAAAAAATTCCATCAAGAAATAGAAAAGTTAACGCTTCATCCATTATCTTGGTAATTTCACATGTTGCACGTGCGCGCTCTTGCCAGCACACGCGCATGTACGTGCTTGCATGAAAATATCATGCTGTAGATCTTCATATTGTGTGACTAAGTTCAAAGTTTCAAAGGATTATGACGAAAAACAAGAAAGATATAGAGACTTTAGTTTCAGCCAATCAAAACGGAGCGCACGTGCATGCGCGTGAGATTTTGCTATTTTGACCATGTCAACACGTCTATACTACTAATATATACTTATATTATGAGTATGAAAGCATATAATCAAAAAATAGAAAAGTTACGGCTGTATCTATTATTTTGGTCATTTCACGCGTTGCACGTGCGCGCTCTTGCAAGCACGTGCGCGCAAAATGACCTTCGTTCTGCAAATCTACATAACATGCCTACTGACCCTAAAAATGTTTCACCTTAGTCGGACGTGTAGTTTACAAGATCATTCGCGGAAAAGATTTTCCCAGGAAGAAGAAAAATAATAATAATAATAATAATAATAAGAAACAGAGTAAAAACAATATGTTCCCCAACTCCGTTTGGGGAACATAATAAGAATAATCTTAATCATCAGAATCAGTAGAAGGTCTTCCGTTGGAAACGGAAGACCTTAATTAATATTTGGATGTTTTACAGACTATAGACGACAAGCGCCAACTAACAACACGACTGTATAGGTATCACACCGGTAATTGACCAATCAAAATGAACTTAGTCAAATGTAGGTCCATATATATAGAATTAATTTTCTTTTCTTTTGAGGCGTTTTTCTATTTTCTTCCATGCCACTTTTACAACTTTGGTACCTGTGCCTAGTAAATTTTATGTACTTTGTGAATAAATAAAGGTTTTGGACAGGAACTATTTTTTTCATGGCATAGGAGGCTACTTCCTGTAGTGCACTCGAGGTGTTTATAAACACAGTGAAAACACGTGGATTTGAGGGTAGCCCTGTTTGCAGATGGAAAAAGTCAGAAAATGCCGTGTGGGTACCCTGTTTTTTGGTGTCAGCTAATGTGACAGGTAATGTTTAACACCTTCTGCTAAATATTTTTTCATGTAAACAAATACCTGATTTTTAACGATTTTTTATTCTATATAGAATTATATAGTGAAAACAATTACCGGTGTGATACCTTGAAGGTGATTGTGAAAAATCATTTTAATCCTTATTAAAGACATTTTTCATTTTTAAAAGGCATATTTCAACAAAATATGTGATTTTATTAACTTTTTGTTTGAAAACACACAATTTTAAAATTAGAATTAGAATTTACATTATTTTTCACAGATTTCTGTTTAAAAATTAACAATAGGTTATATTTTACACTCAATACTTTCAAATATGACTAAAAAGGTAGCATTATGCATCTAAAATGTGGAAAGAAGTCAGAGAATATTGTTTTTTCATTTTATATGACTTAACATTATTTGCACCAGCTGACCGCAGTCAATTATAGTGTCTACAGACTTTGCGGTAAAGGGTGTTAAAGCTGATTTTTCAAGAATAGACTAATTCTAGGTTTGCGAATGAATTTTTAGCATAAGCGACAACTGCGATAAAATGTAAACAAGTAAAAATGTTTTCACGGAATGATAATTTCTACAGAAACATGATTTATTTTAATTTATTCAGACCTCCAGTGATACATACATTACTGCATTGGAAGAACAGAAATAATGAAATGAGTCAGATCTGTCTAATAAACTTAATACATAAGCTACATTAGTAAAATTCATTAAGAATTTATCAAAGTAAGGAAGGTTATGACCAAAAAATCCTGAAATACTGTCAAGGTCTGCATGATAATACTTATTCTGAGTTCTAACCATGCATCATACATGTAGTGCAGAATGTCACTTAGCAGCATGGCATGCCTTTTGTGGTTCTAAGGACTTTATTTATGCTTTCGCAGCTGACATTCATGTTTTTTCAGTTTGTCGGAGACTGTTTTTTGTTATTTTTTCATTTATATGTAGGTGTTGACTGTCACTTTTGAATTAAGTCTCAGTCAGTGATGCTTATATGAGCATGATCTACTAAGTATTTCATTGTACTGAAATATTAATAAATTCCAAATTTAACTGATGAAGAAATTTGGCATATTTACATAATTGAAATATCACAATAACTATAATTCAGCTAATAAGGTGCACATTTCTTCTCAGATCACTTCCTATAAATTTTATCAACAGTTTTGGTACACCCACCCACCTCAAAGAATCATGGAGGATGTCCTGAATCTGGTCTCTGTGATGCATTTTGTCTCATAGAAAAGTGTTCAAACTCATTAAAATGTTTAATATTTATATTTTAAAATCTAAATGTTCATTTTTTTATGTAAATTTGTTGAAACAAAAAGATATAATCTTGCATAAATCATGGAAATTCATTAAACACCTTTGGAATTCCTGAATAAATCCATGAAAAGAGAATAATTATGCATGTTAAATTGAAATTTCATGGCTAATTTGTGTCTTAAGAGAAAGCCAGTTGCATAAATCACAACAATAAATTACATCTGAATAGTTGTCTCCAGGTTCTTATCATCAAAGCCAGTTTAATGGAGTGTGGGAGCTGTGAAGAACCTCCCTAGATGCTGATATCATTTTGACTGCCCTGAGTTACAACACAGCATTTAGATAAACTTCTGCACAGCAGCTTGTAGACACATACCTAGGCTTTATTTGGAACATAAATTGACCAGATACAGTGTTCATTATCAACCCAGTATTTAACAATTTCTGTATTTTTGTTCATTCTTTGAAGGGGAAAATGCTACTTTGTTATGTAATAATTACATAATGGTCTTAGACTTGTAAACTCTTTTCTGTTTGTGGTGAAGAACAAAGCATATACTCTCCACGGATAAAAAATTGGTTGCCAAGCTTATTCTTTTAATGGTGAAATTCTGCTTCAAAAGATGCACAAAAAACTGCTTCCAGAGTGCTGTGTGTGTTGTTCTTGACTGCTCTGGAGTAAGGGAGATAAATGCTTCATATCTTCAGAAATAAGGGGATTTAGATCACCAGACTTAGGGATTTTGGGGACAATTATTTCATGAATCTCAGGTGCAAAAATGGAAAAAATCGAACACCTTCAAAGGTCCTTCAAGGTATCACACCGGTAATTGACCAATCAAAATGAACTTAGTCAAATGTAGGTCCATATATATAGAATTAATTTTCTTTTCTTTTGAGGCGTTTTTCTATTTTCTTCCATGCCACTTTTACAACTTTGGTACCTGTGCCTAGTAAATTTTATGTACTTTGTGAATAAATAAAGGTTTTGGACAGGAACTATTTTTTTCATGGCATAGGAGGCTACTTCCTGTAGTGCACTCGAGGTGTTTATAAACACAGTGAAAACACGTGGATTTGAGGGTAGCCCTGTTTGCAGATGGAAAAAGTCAGAAAATGCCGTGTGGGTACCCTGTTTTTTGGTGTCAGCTAATGTGACAGGTAATGTTTAACACCTTCTGCTAAATATTTTTTCATGTAAACAAATACCTGATTTTTAACGATTTTTTATTCTATATAGAATTATATAGTGAAAACAATTACCGGTGTGATACCTTGAATATAACAAAGAGGAGATCAGTTCTTTAATAGTTATCTTTCCTTATTAATGTGGTGTTTACATGTGGTGTTTACATTCGGTGTTTACATCTAAGTTTTTCGATACTCAAAAGCATACTCTGAGGACAAAAAAAAAAATTGAACCGAGGCAGGCTAATGAGAGATAAGCTGATATTACAGATATTTAATCCACTTCTGAATTTTTTAAGATCGTTATAATACCGTATAGCGGGTCATTTTAGCGGGATGCTAATTTTGGCTTATTTTGGTGTTTTGATGATAGTCCGCTAAAATTTTAATCGCTAAAATAGTCAGTACTCTTCTTAGTGTTCATCTGCAAAGATTTGAATCACTGTGTCCGCTAAAATAAATTACGTCAAAGTTATTGGCATACCTTTGAGCAAGCAAAACGCCAAATTTTACACCCGCCAAGAAAATCGCTATACGACATCCATGGAGACATGTATAACTTATCATTGGTTCGTTTGTTTGGCTGATGCGTTTCATATCAATTCTTAATCCTTTATTACATAAAACTTGACCACAGAGGGTTTAGCTGATCAATACAAAGGTCTCACGGCGGATGTGACCGGTTAACATAGAATGGTCACTCCTACTAGGCACCTGATCCGACCTAGGGAATTTTCAGGCGCCGTGTTTTATGCCCTGTTCACTTTTTAAGATACTCAGTATGTATTGTTTAAATACCAATGGAATAAGACAAAATAATCGACTTAAGTAGACAAGAGACGTTCATTAATTGGATCCAAGTCCTTATCGATTATCTCAATATATATTAACTTTTGTTAGCTAACACCGGGTACAAGTTTTCGAAGAAATTAACAAAAGCAACTATTATTTTCTTTATATACATAGTAAAAAATCAGATAGCGACATTATTACATCACAGCCAAAATTAGGACTAGTTCAGAAAGAAAGCATCTCAAACATTTTTTTTTTTTACATTTTAAATGAAAAAAGTCAGGCCCGTAAATTCTTGCTTATTAAGAAAAAATATTTCTTCAGGCAAAGTTGAAATTCCCATAAAAGACTGAATGAACACGAAGAAGAACCGGCTTTGTCGGATCCTTGTGTCCATTCCATGCCTGGTTAACATTTTACAATCATTTCGACTTTTAATCCTCTCGGGGAGTTAATCCGATATCAATTTCCTCCCTGCCTTGGCTTCACACGGTTCCCTAGAATGATTCGTTTCAAAGTCGGGGGTGATAATTTCTTATCAGTGTGTCCACAGCCATGGCAACTTAAGGGAGAAAATTGAAATAATTCCAAAAACACTGAAACAATAAGTGATAAATTTCTATCAAATTCAAGGCTACAAAGCATTCTGACTTTGGGCGGTAATTATGTTAGAATGTAAGGTTGTTTTAAGGTCTGTTGGCCATGGGGCCAGGATTTACTTCCTTTTTCCACGTGTTAAGTATTTCATATACAAAAGAATACAAGAAGTGGGTTATATTGTCATGTAATGATATATATGCAGATGACAAACAGTCCACTAAACAATACACATTTGGGAGCAGAGCAAACCCGGACCTCCAAAACATCAGAGCTGGGATCAGGTGCCATGGAGAAGTAAGTATTCCCTATTGATCGGTCACACCAGCCGTGTGCTCCTTGTCATGATCGGAAAATAACGGGAAAATCCGTCGACGATTGAGTGTGTAAAAAATGGCCTAACAATTAGTATGAAATCAGTCAGCATTTGACTTTATGATAGATTGTATTTGCTGGCAAGGTTATTCTATCTACCATAAAACTTACAAAATGAGGACTTTAAACAAAACTGCGAATATCTTGTTTCATCAACTTTTTGCAATAATTTACCTCGTTTTAAAAATTGGTTATAGAAGACCATGCTCTAACGTATTGAATAAACTGAGATACAAACCCCATATGCAGGTGATGACTGTATATTGCTGCATAAGTAAAGGTAGTTAATTGAAAAGTTAAAGTCATCATGTTTATCATAAAGCTTGGTTGTAAGATTACCATTAACGTCTCTTTCTAGTAAAATAGCCAAATATGAAACAGATGTGCTCTACGGGATCTATCGTATCGACAAAAGAATGAAAATAACCATTGTTAATTGACAGTACGTAGTCGAAATGTTGAATTGAATGTCATAGTAAGAGTTTCCTTCTTTTAACGTAGAAGATTTTGAACAAATTATGCTTCATATGAATATAAAAATAGGTCTTCTAAAACGGGGCGTAATTGGTACCCATGGGAATTCCAATAGATTGTCGGAAGATCTGGTCTCAAACAAAAAAAAAAAAAATAAAATAAACAAACAAAACAAAAACGCATAGATATCATGAATCAGAACTCACGCATCTTTTTGATGTCAACTTCAGATTACTTGTGTGTAGAATCAGAATGATTTTTAACAAAAAATTTTTACTAATGACCAATGACAAGGTACATAAATTTACGAGTTCCATTTTTATTAAAAAAGCAGCTGTCAGTGATATCAAAAAGCCTGGACTTTAATTTATCGTGGGATATGTTTGTATATAAAGTTGAAAAGTTGCAAGTTTTTACATAATTGATTTTGGTAAATTTTTGTGATATGAAATCTTTGAAATCTTCCTTGGAATTTTTAAGTATCCACATCTGATTTACGCCACTTCTTGAATATATTGTTGCACAGTACTCCTGTAGTTTTTCCTTCACTACTTTTAAATATACCAGCCAAGTACCTACTAGTATTTGTAAAATATTTGAATGTTGAAAAAAAGAAGGAAATTGAAAAATAGCAGGTGGTATTTTAAGAATCTTATTTCATATCCAAAAATAGGGTTTCCGTTTATCATTAAAAAGTCTAATTTAGAAACAAAGGATATGAATCAGGAAAGGACAGACAACGGTGGTATTTCCTGTTTGTTACAGAAGAATACACGTGAAGCCAAACCAGTCACAATATGTATCTTAATTTTAAAACTTTACAACTGTCAGAGCTAACGCTACTGGATGCCATGAGTTGGAGAAATAATCAATTCCTTTATTGCACATTTGGACAAAATCATGTCAGAAATACTTCTCCACTTAAAAAGATTTACTCCGCGAATCTTTGTAAATTCTATGCAGATCTTCTCTACTTTATAGAAGAACACAGAATTTATGGCGGAGACGCTGAATAACAATTTTCTGTAATGGAGGGGAAGGTCCGTTTGTCTTTTAATGGAAGTGTAATTGAGATTCTTATGACATAAACGGGAAAAAATTACGGTTATTTAAAAACCAAATCACTTTTATTATTCCTATTATAACAAATACCAATGGAAAAATATTTTGATTCATTTTGTGAATCACGAAATGCCTCTGTATGGCACAATGCAAAGAGGCAAAGTAGTGGTTGCTTAGGTTATGTAACTGGGAGACAACTGAGGTATTAACAAGACAGACATTGTAAATATTAAAAAAATATATATAGAAATCTGTTGACAGGAAATATTGTAAAGATAAAAGTTATATCTTGGCCCATAAAATGAGACAATAGTGCTGGCAGTCAAAAATGTTTGACATAAGACAAAAGGACTTTTGCGTGAGTTATAATGGTGAAACAAAATTGATATAGGTAGTGGAAACAAACTTATAAATAAATCAAATTTATTACATATATATGCCACGCCAAATTCACAAAAATGAGCTAAACATAGTTTCACAGTTGATAAACTAGGTTTATCAACTGTAAACTATAGTTTACAAACCGTGAACTATAGTTAACGAGTCGTTAACTATAGTTTTCATCTGTAAAAGTATATTTAACGGTTGTTAGCTATAGTTTAAGAATGCTAATCTAAGTTTGTCTGTAATAAAACGTTATCAATAGATTTTGTTGATAAACATCGATTCACGTCTGTAAACTATAATTTACAATCGGGAACTATAGTTAAGAGATGTTAATCATAGTTTCACAAATCGTGAAACTATATTTATCAGATCGTTAACTATAGTTAAGAGTTGTAAACCATACTTTACAAATCACGAAACTGTATTTATCAGATAATCTATGTTCTGCAATCGCAAATGATTGTTTCCAGTGTTAAGTATAGTTTACGGTTCTGAAACATAGATTATAGCGTTAACTATGGTTTACAGATGTAAAGTATAGTTTACAACTGATAAACCTTGTTTATCGACTGTGAAACTATGTTTAGCTCATTTTTGTGAATTTGGCGTGCCATTCATATATGTTATCCTTTACTATGTGTATCTTGTTATCTTGAGAATTTTATCAGAATTTATAGCAATAATATTTGACTTACGCGAACATCTATTCAAAGATCTGTAGATAACATTAAACGCTACATCTTACTTGAAGCATAACTACGACTAAATAAGTTTAAAGATTTTCAATTCTTCTATATCATTATACACACATGTCATAAACACAGATGCATGGATTGTTATATATTTATTTGGACTTTCGTTGTTAGAAAAGATACATACATTGAGTTATTAAGAAATCGTAGACGTTTTGTTATATTGTATTGTCCCTAAAAACCTGTACTTATTTTTATCACTTTGAAGAACATTATTGAGAATCTTTCGGAATATTCGGTCTATCTGATCAATAAATAGAGTTCATTGAGTTTGTAACCGGTTGATAGGGGATGCTTACTCCTACTAGACTAATCCCCTATAGAACTTCCTATCCACCGTGTTTTAATGTTTGAGAAGTTTTAAATTTTATTAATTTTTAAGAACTCTTTGCAAAACAATATTTATAAACTTCGAAAAATATTTTTTTAATGGAAAAGAATGTTTTAGAGTATAATGCATACAAGAATAAAAAGTAATTATATGGTTATTTAAAGCTACCCTTGTGACGACCAACTTGTCATTATAATTAAGTCCGGTACAAAATCAAATACCTAAAGTGTAGATATTTGCTGTAAAATTTGTATATTGAATAAGTTGAATTAATTCACTGATAAATTGTATTTGCTGACAAAACCATTGCATCGACCATAGAAATTAATTACGAAATGATGACTTTAAACGAGGCTGCTGGTATTCTTGTTTCATCGACCTTTTTGTCAATAATTTACCTCTTTTTAGAAAATGTTCATACGTTGAGCATGCTCTTGCGTATCGAATCCACTGAGATATGTACACTCCGTATGCAGGTGATGAGGGTATATTGCTGCATAAGTAAGGGAAGTTGACGATAGAAAAGTTAAAATCATCAAGTTTATCAGAAAGCTTGGTTGTTAAATTACCATTAACGTCTTTTTCAAGTAAAATATCCAAGTATGAAACAGATGTGTCAGACTCTGTGGTATCTTTTATCTCAAGCTCTCTAGGATATATCGTATCGACAAAGGAATGAAAATTACCATTGTAAATTTACAATACGTAGTCGATATATCTTTATGTTGAGTTGAAGGCCACAGCAAGTGTTTTCATCTTTTCACGCAAAAGATTTTGCACAAATTCTGCTTCATATGAATACAAAAAAGGTCTGCTAATAATGGAGCGCAATTGGTACCCATTGGAATTCCAATATATTGTCAATATATTGTCGGAAGACCTGGTCTCCAAAAACCACATAGATATTGTCAATCAGAATTACAAATGACCAATGACCAGGTAAGTAAATTTACGAGTTCCATTTTTTTTTAAAGCAGCTGTCAATGATATCAAAAAGCCTGGACTTTAATTTATCGTGGGGAATGGTTGTGTATAAAGTTGATTTTGGTAAAATTTTGTGATTTCAAATTGTCCAAAAGTTCTTTGAAATTTTTGAGTATCCACATCTTGAATATATTGTTGCACAGTACTCTAGAAGTTTTTTCTTTACTACTATTAATATGTTAGTGAGGAGTAAAGAAAGTGGCTTGGTTGAACAATTACTGGAACCCGCAATGTATCTTTGTTTGTAAGGATTTTTATGAAGTATCGGAATTCAATGGAAAAGAATAAAACCATGAGTGGATACTGTTCAATTATATGAAGTGTTATATTTCTTTTGCTTTTATTTTTCAAAATTTGATGAATCATTCAAAAAGCTAAAGTATTATACTTCCTAGTCGACCTTGGACAAAGGGCAATTGCAGAGGGACGAGCGGGGGATCCAGCGAGGGTGTATATAGAATTTCAGATAGCACAAGAACGTGTTAATTGTAACGACATAGGGTTTTACAGATGTAAGATTACCTGGAGTCCCAAAACAATGATTTAAATGGCAGAGAGTTGGGAGAGGGACAACCTATGAAATATGTATTTATCAATGTTGCTAATAACACGTGTAAAACTCACTGTTCGTGTTTATTTATATCTGTAATCTATTGGCTGTAATGCTGGTCACCTTGTCAGGTGACATTTAAATATTCATTGCACGGGTTTTAACTGACCGCTGTTAGCACAGAATATTCTAAAACCATTCGAAGGCTCTTTTTAGTGCAGATAACTGAATCGCCACCCACCTGCCCTTGCTTTACATGTTTTAAAAAGATTTTATGTTTTGTTTTGTAGAAAGGAAGACAAAGAAGAATTGTATATGTAACGATTTTGTATAATAAGTAAACTACACTACCAGAGCGCTTCACATCCTAATATACGTGTTTGTGTTTATTTTATAAATTATTTATGTTCGTTTGAGTGGCACGAATAAAAACATAAATAATATTTTTTTTAATTCAAACAAGAGAATTCTATTTCTTAAAAAGGGTGGACTTTTCTCAAACCTTTTTGTTCACTTTTCCAAAAGCTGAAGTCTGCTAGTATTTGACCTTTAGTTACAGCTGTCTTAATTCATAAACAAATAGGTTCAATTCAATTAAAGATGGTGTTTCTTGAATTTTGTCTATATTCATTTCTTCTGAGATTGGTACAATTGATATTAAGATAAGTAAAAAAAAATTAAAATATCTTCACAAAGGATTTGAAGATTTTGTATAAATAATTCATATTAAGTTCCATTCAATTGGACCTATCTTTAATTCTTATTAATAACTCTTCTTCATTTCAGTTATACCTATCTTCAATTCAATTGTACCTATGAATAACCCTAACTCTAACCCTAACCCTAACCTTTGCAGCCTAACCCTAATTCTAAAAATAAAAGTATAGGTATTATTGAAATAAACCTATCTTCAATTCAATTGGAGATAAGAATAATTGGTTTGAAGACAGGTAACAGTAAAATGATTGTATAATATATCTAAGAAAAAAAATTAAAAATACGTATAATTACTCCTAGCGTCAATTCAATTGTACATGTACATGTACCTATCTCTTAATTAATGCAAATTTGAAATACTTAAAAATTGGTATTTGTACCAATCTTTAATTCATTTGTATCTTTAAATTGATATTACACATTTCCAAATGAACTGAAGATATGAATGATCGAAGTAAACCTATCTTCAATCTATGAAGAGATATATAAGTTTATATAAGTTAAGACGTGTACATATATTTGAAGGTAGGTCCAATTATTTGAATTTATATTTTATTAAATTAGCGATCCACAGAAGAATTAAACAAATATATATACTATTCAGGCTTCACTGGTACACCGTATAATCCTGTCGACATGAATATGAAGAATGATTTTATAACATCAACAATACTTGTTAATGATAAAACAGACTAAGTCGTACATTGTAATAAGAAAGTTGATTCATGCATCAATTGTACGTAATACTTACTCTTATCCGGCCACTCACTGGTCAATCTGTAACCCCTGTATCCTGAATGATGTTACCCTCTCTATTTATTTTGTTATAAATCACATTTTTGTGTTAAAATGTTGGAAGTTTTCTTACTTATTCTTCTTATTGTACCAGGTAAATTTTATTTGAATTTCAAGATATCTTATAAGAGCTCTAAGCATTTTACCAGAACGGTAGGAATTATACTGTTATCTCTCTGAAGCAAAAAAAATCAATTTTTTCAATAAGAACGATTTATTACCCTGTTTAGTTTGTCAAGACACATAATATGATAGAAACGTATCTTGGTGAATTCCTTGCTGTTAATTATTTATTAGATGTAAAATTATTGACATGTTGGTTAACAATGTCCTGTTTACAAACTATGAGTGATGACACAGTATCTGATTTAGAAAAGACAGAAGAGTGCGTTAAATTTGAAGATATTTATATATAAACAGATTCAAATTATGCAATGAAATATGAAAATTATATGGCAATATGTTTAGAGTACAATTTAAAATGTGTTATTGGTACCAATCTTCAAAAAATATGACAGGAAAGTCACAAACACCCCTGGAAGCTCAAATCGGAGCACCAACGACAATAGATATACAAAATGAACTCAGCGTCAAATGTGCACCATCAGGAAGTTTTGACTTTATCAGCAAGATTGAAATACAGCGCAAGAATGCGACAGCCTCGACATACAGCACAATACTGGTGGTGGAGGATCCACCCCGGGGAAGCGCACCTGTCTTCAGAGATGGTAATATGAAAAAGAAATACATTCTTTCAAATATAAGTATATGTAACTCTCATTTCAAATCTAATTTAAGCGATAAATTCCCCATACAATGTTCTTCCCATTACTAATCTATTTTCAGCATTAATGTACAGAAGATTATGCTTTACATGCAGTTATGTCAGTATATAATGTTCATTATTTACTTGGAAAATACCGTACCTTTCTACTGATTCCAGATGAGGTAAGAGAGAGAGCGAGTGCACAGGGTCGGGCAGGGCGACCTTCAGATGCGTTCCTAACGCTTACCATCCCTCAAGGTCAGGTCAACTGTAACGATGGCGGATCATATCAGTGCCAGATAGTAAACGGGGACAATGGATCGACAACAATCACATCTATAGCTGTCACTGTCACCATACAGGGTAAGACAGAAATGTATTCAATGTTCTCTAACCGGTCCGTTAATAACCCTTGTTGCACTGCCATCTGCAAAGAGAAAAAGTGTTCAAATCAAATCAATTTTCAGAAAAAGTTCATAAGAAAAATAATTTTATGTTAATTTTTTTTTCTTCCAGTCAGTCCAGACGCCTCCCGTCCTGTGCTTAGTCTCAGCCCCTCTAACTTCCCAGGGGCAGGGGTGTCAGTGTATACGTACTTAAAGGGAACTACCATCATGTTAGTCTGTCAAGCCGATGTTGGTAAGCAGGTCTTAGCAGGTTATGGTTTCATGATTTAACATTTTTAGTATTATACATTGTCTCGAATGAGTTTTAAACAGCGACACACAAGATCTATTTCTCAACAAAGGAATTTTGATCTATCAATTTATACATGTATATCTACAAGAGAAAATACAATTATACGACTTAAAAATTGTGTACAAGAAATATTTTTAAAAACGATGAGCTAGCAGAATCGTTTGATTGTCCTTAATAGGCAGCCCACCACAACCAATGAGATTCTGCTACCAGCCTACTGGAGTGAGTACCTTTACACCTGTAACAAACGTGGTGTCCAATATTGTCGCCCCGCAGTCAGTGGAGCCGGCCAAGAGCTGTCTGTTGACCCGGACCATTGTCGCCTCCGCCGAGATAACCGCACTCGCTGGCTCGTTCTACTGCGAGGTCCATGCTGCTGGTACCAGTCAGGGATGTGGAACCAATCTGAAGGTCACGGACGCCATGTTTACCGCTCAAAATCTTCCCGGTATTTTATTTATAATCATTTGAACCGTGCTGTAATCATAAACCTTTTTGAAAAGCATATTTTTCTTAAACCTTGTCTTCTTTCAAACGAGGCCTATCAAATAAAGATTGATAAAATCTGAGGCAAACGTAGAAATCTAAGCTAAAGGTAAATAAAAGTAATTTTGAATGATTTTATACTCAATTTACTTACTTATTATACGTATTTCAATCAAATGTGCGTACGTGAAGTGCATGAACTTCAAGATAACTAAAAACTACATGTTGCCTTTGAAATTTCATATTAAAATGTTTACCGACTTCTTAAATTAGAATACACAGTGAGAGATGTGTATATCAGAGTTAATTCAAACTTTTATTCCAGTATGCAATTCGAGCACTATAACATGTAGCAGCTCTAGCACCACCTCAACAACAACCACCACTAGCACCACCTCATCAACCTCCAGCACCACCTCAACAACAACGGAGGCTTCTATTGAGGGTGACGTACAAGTTCTGGCAGTTACCGACAATGGAGGTTCGTTTTAATTTAATTAACTCTAGGAAATAATAGTTTTGATATTTAAAAGCATTAAGTTAAGCTTTGTTACTTTTGATGGCAAGTGTAAAACGAAAAACCGCTGAAGTTATGAGACTATAACTTTTACAAAATCAGATGCATATACTAAATGAATTTTCATTTTTGAATACCCTGCCTTTCCAAAACTTTGACTTACATTACAAAATCCCTGTCTCTTCCAAAGGGTAAGACACAAATTAAAATACAATGGCAATCTTAAATGGCTACCTTAAAATTATTTTTCACCATTTTGTAAATGAAAATATAATCAAAATTTTATTAAAGGATTATAATTTTGTGTGTGATTTTTAAGAATAGAAAAAATTAATATTTACCTCCTTGTTGACAAATTGCCATTAAAATTTTAGAAGATGAACAAACTAAAGGCTGCGTTAGTTACAAACAAATCAATTTGTTTACCTGTATTTCATTTGGTTTCCTTTTGTAGGACATTCCCTCCTGCTGCAGTTGGATAATGTTTTGTTTTCGTTATGGTGGGGTAAACCCTCTTGCTGCTGTTTAATAATGTTTTGTTTTCAATTTTGAAGGATATATATACCCTCTTGCTGCAGTTGGATAATGTTTTGTTTTCGTTTTGAAAGAGTATACCCTCTTGCTGCAGTTGGTTAATGTTTTGTTTTCATTTTGGTAGGGTAAATCCTCTTTCTGCAGTTGAATGTTTTGTTTTCGTTTTTGAAGGGTACACCCTCTTGCTGCAGTTGGATAATGTTTTGTTTTCAATTTGGTAGGGTATACCCTCTTGCTGCAGATGGATAATATTTTGTTTTCGTTTTGAAAGAGAAACCCTGTTGCTGCAGTTGGTACATGTTTTGTTTTCATTTTGGTAGGGTAAATCCTCTTTCTGCAGTTGAATGTTTTGTTTTCGTTTTTGAAGGGTATACCCTCTTGCTGCTGTTGGATAATGTTTTGTTTTGGTAGGGTATACCCTCTTGCTGCAGTTGAATGTTTTGATTTCGTTTTGAACGGTATATACTGTTGCTGCAGTTGGGATAATGTTTTGTTTTCATTTTGGTAGGGTATACCCTCTTGCTGCAGTTGGTACATGTTTTGTTTTTGTTTTGGTAGAGTATACCCTCTTGCTGCAGGTGGATAACGTTTTGATTTTGGTATGGTGAACTGCTGTTTGATGATGTTTACGTTATGTTTTTGTAGAGTGCACTGCATTTGCTGCAGTTGGATAATGTTTTGTTTTTGTTTTGGTAGGGTATATCCTTTTACTCTACTGTTTTTTGTTTTGATTTAGGTTATACTTCCCTACTGCTTTTTGCTGATGAGTTTTATATTTGTTTTCCTTTTGTAGGGTAAACCTTTCTGCTGTTATTGAATGAGTGTGGTTTTTGTTATGGTATAACATCCTTATTGGTTGATGGTTTGTTTTTTTTTCTTAGTTTTGTTTTGGGTAGAGTATACCCTCTTTCTGCTGTTAGATGATGAACCTTGTCTTTTTTGTTTAATTAGGAAATAACCTCCTGTTGCTATTGGATGATTCGTTTGGTTTTTGTTTTGTTTTTGTAGTGCATCATCTCCTGCTGCTTTGAATGATGAGTTTGGTTTCTGTATTGTTTTTGTAGTGTATATCCTCTTACTGCTATTGGCTGGGTTCTGTTTTTGTTTTTTTTTTGTAGGGCATACCCTCCTACTGGTATTAGATGATGAGTTTTGTCTTTGTTTTGTTGTATAGGACATACCCTCCTGCTGCTATTGAATGATGTTTTGTCGTTGTAAGGTATACCCTCCCACTTGTTTGGATGATGATTTGTGTTTTTTGTAGGATGCCCTCTCTTGCTGCTTTGGATGATGAGTTATGCCTTTGTTTTCTTTTTATACCATCTTACTGCTATCAGATGACGTCTTTTACCTTTTTGTTTTTATTGTCTTTGTTTTGTTTTTGTAGGATATACCCTCCTCCTGCTGGGTTGTGGGCTGATCGTCGTGTCTGGGGTTCTTTTTGCCACCAGTCTGATCATCTTTATGAAGGCCAAAAAACTTAAAAAGGGTATGACCTGATGTATGAGGCTTAAAGGTTTCATTTAAGACTTCAAGACTATTTTCAGGAAATGTGTTGAGGAAAAATAAGCTTTCGAGTCTGGTTATGTTTTTTTTTTTTGCAGGAGCTGAGATGGCCATGATACGGTAAGGCCTTTTTGATTGATTTACATAACCCCATCTAGCTTTTTAATTGTACTTATTCTCTTAATTGTGGTTTCATATGTTATGGGGGAAATTGTAAAAGAGAAATATATAATACTAGTAAATAAAAATAAATTCGCTTATTAGGTATTCATTTTCGGTTGATTTTTCTGTCATTTCTTAATTTTAGTACTGGTATACATTGTATTTATTTGTTTGACACTCCTCAATCATAATTATATGATCAACAACATCCTTATTTCTGGCTATTCATTTCCTTTAAAATGTTGTATGATTTTTAAACTCTAATCTATTAAATCAGAGGTAGGCAAACGATTGTTTAATTCTAATTACAGGAGTACCTACGACTCCGTGCATTTTAGAAGATCATCAGCGCCAAATTATACCTCTTTGGGTAAGAATCTGATAAGACAATGGTATTGATTAATTGAATTCAATATTGCACTTTATTTATGGAATTCCAACCATGTGATGAAAACTATAAATTATTTTGATTAATTTTAAATTTCAGATGATC